CCCAAGCGTTCCAGAGCCACACGCGAACCCACGTGGTGGGTGACATCCCGCACGTTCCCTCCATGCTTGTGAAGTGCTGGGTGGAGATGGCTCCCAGTGAGAGCAATGGTGGGGTGGCATGGGGAGGATGCTCAGGACCCCAAAATGCAATGCCTGAGCAAAGAAACTCCTTCCCATTTGTTCCTTCCCCCATGGCACAACCTGGGCTTTACCAGCACCATTCCACATCATCTCCATTGGTCCCAGCCCCGCACCGGGCTGCCCGTCAGGGACCCCCCGCGCGTGGCAGTGCGGGAGATGCTCCCTGAAATGCTGCTTTCTCAGCTGCTCTCTGCTCCTGCGCGGTCGCCCTGAGGCATCTGGCATTGAACTTCACCCTGGCATCCAGGGCAGTCTGTACACGCAGCAAAACTCACCCGCGCGTCTGTCCTGGCTCCCGTTCCTGGAGGTTTCGGTGGCAGGTAACGGCATGGGGTGGGATGCCTGCCCGGGGATGCATTTACTCCAAGAAGGTATTTTAGACAAGTGTGTCGTTAGTGGGTTCCCCAAGGTTTTGGCCCATCCAAATTTGAGCATATTGCCTGTTGGCTATTCCATGGTTTCGCAGAGAAACTATTTCTTTTTTTCACTAGACATCACCCTTAGGGGATGCTTTCTTTTTTTTCCCCCGATTTCATCCAATTACTTAGCTGTATGCTCTTCTGAAGCACCATAAATAATTCTCCTCCCTCTGCTGTGTTTACCAGCATGTCTCATGAAATCCAGTAAGATATGATTGATTGCAATCATTATTTCCTAGTGCTGCTATGAAAACCTCTGTCAGGTTCAGTGATTGGCTTTAAAGAGTGGCTGCCACTCAGGAAAACTGTCAAAAACCTGTCATACTTTAGCAAACTCCAATTAATCTGTTGAGCAGTTTTTCTTGTGTTTTCTTTTCCATCATTGCTGATTATCATGGGTAATTAGAATATTTCTCCTTTGTAATTAGCTTGGTTGCTTTTTTAAAAAAAAAGTGGCTTGCAGGACTGTTCTAGTGGGTTTTCACGCTATCGAGTTGGGGTTCGGTTTCTCCCGTGTGCCTGCAGGGCTCGTGGCGATCTTCATTGCTGGCTTAGGGGGGAGAAGCTGGGGGTAGCGGCCGGGCTCGCTTCCATCCTCCGAATTGCCACCGCTGGCCCGCGCTGTCAGGCAGCCGAGCAGCCGTTTGGCGGCTGCCTGGGCTCAGGTTAACAAATGAATCCTGGCTCTTGCATTTTTAAAAGAGTCGCTTCAGCACTTTTCCTCCTTCCTTTTGGTTTTAATGAGACACACTTTCCAAGAGATGTAATAATCATTGCCAAAAATGTCAAATCGTTCTTGTTATCCTCCTTAAGCTTCTGGATCAACAACAAAAACAACAACAAAAAAAGACCAAGAACAGAAAAAGAGAGGTGTTGATGAGGAAGGGCTTTGACTTCATCTCCAAGAGCCGGCGGAGGGCTGGGGGGAGATGTGCCCCGCGACAGCTCTGCTTTCTGGCAGGGTGCCTGACAAGATAACCCAGGGAAGGCTGAGATGTATTTTTTTTTGTTACTATTTTTACTTAGGATTTGGGGTGGTTTTTTATTTCTTTATTGGAGGAGGAATATCTCCGCTCACTGTTGACAGCAAAGCTCAGAGCTTTGCCGTTGAAAAGCATCCTGGAATTGTTCAAAACCAGCTGGGAAATTGGATGGCGGCAGCGACAGGAGGGGAAATCTCAGCAAAGCCAGGGGAGAGCTGGGGGGGGAAGCCAGGGCGGCGCTGGGGGCTCAGCTGCGGCGCCGGGGCTTGCACCTCTGCTCGCTGCTGGTTTCTCTGGGATCCAGGGGGAAATGGTTTCATTCCCCAGCGGGAATATCCTTGTTCCTCCTTAGTGATTTGGCAGCAGAGCTGACTTGTCAGCTGCGCTTCTGCAGAGAGGACCTGGAGCAGCCATCCGCGCTGGATCTCCTGGGGTGTGGATGTAGCTCTGGGAAATCTCCATCTCCTGCTTGAGCATGGGGTGATCCCTGGGGAGCTTTTCCTGGGCAGTGGGAACATGGCGCTGAGCACCCCTGAGTGCCCAGCACCAACATTGGCTCATTGCTGCCTGCTGGGAACGTGAGCCCTGTGTAGCTCCGTGCCTCAGTTTCTCTTGTTTCCCAGGCCAGGATTAGGCTCCCTTGGAAGGTCTGGAGATGCTCCTGAGACCCATCCCAAACACCTCAGGAAAAGGCTTTTCCCAGACCTCTTCTGTGGGGATGAGCTCCATACGTGTGTCTGGCTTTTAATCAGGGGCCAGAGCTGTTTCTCTGCCTGGGCTTTGTGAGCAGCCATTTAAATTTCAAATGAGCTGCACCACTAAACAGGCCTCTGTAATTAAACGAAGGCAGCCTGGCTACAAATTGGGGTGACAGCCCAGCCCTGAGCAGCAGAGGCAGCAGCGGCTCTCAGTCATCTCCGTGGCCTTCTCAGACATGATCCTTGCATCTTCCCAGTGAACCAGCATGACCTGACACCCCCAAAACAAGCTGGGCTCCAAATCCTTGGGCCAGGGGTACCACTCCGTCCATGGAAATGTGGTGGTTGTAGTTTAAGCCCTTCTGGCCAGCTGTAGCGGTTGTATCGGGTCCTTTCCCTGACCTCCAGACTCACCCACCGGCACAGGAGCACGCAAGGATGCCCAGTCTCCGTCTCACTCAAAAACTGAGTTCAAAGTCTAAGCACTGACCCACTGGCAGTGCTGGGATGTCAGAGCAGGAGCAAATCCCGAGCAGAAATCCCTGTTCAGGGGGTGGTCAGTTCTGGAAGCTGCCTGGGACAGGCGGGCAGAGGGTGTGGGGGCTGCAAGCCATTAGCGCAGCCCAGCCGTGGTAGGGATGGCACTAGAGCGGGCTTTTCTCACTTAAGTCCATCTCAGAGCTATTCTATTTTTCTTGGCTGTGTCTTTGCCCAGTTTGCTCAGCTGCGTTTGGGGAGGCCCCTGTACAAACTGAGCTCCAGGGTCCAAGTTTCCACTTTTTTTCCCCCCTAGCATCTGTTAATTGTGAGTTCATTAGGACTTCTGCCCTTTAATGGGACAGGCTGTGACTTGTCCCACCCAGGGGATTGGGAGACCTTCCTGGTGGGACGGACAAAGGTGGCTTCTGCGTTCCCAGACCCATGCAGGAGGTCTGGGGCTGCACAGGACTTGTACCCACCGATTCAAGCAGACGTCACTGACTTCTTGCCATGGGAGTTCAGTGAGCATTTGGGGAAGAGCCTGGTTTCAATCTCCATGAATGGTATTATTGGGGTTTGGGTTTTTGTTTTGTTTTTTTTTTTTGAGGAATTGCTTTTGCTCTCAGTTTTTCTTCCCTTTTGTTAGATAGCGTCAGGAAAAATAACGTGTTGCTGATAATCACATCCAAGCCTGGAAGACAGCCTTTGGCGAGGTCTGGCTGGCCCGCTGTCAGCTTCTCAGAGGGGTTAAGGGTTGGCTTGGAACCCTGTGTTCACGTGCCGCGCGTCCGACAGCGACGTGATGCGATGCTTTCACAGTGCCTGCTGGGGCGAGAGCCTGGCGGGGGGGGTGCGAGTGCCGAAGCCCCCGGTTCCGCTGCGGTGCCGATGCAGCCCTCCTCCACCGGAGCTGGAGAGCTGACCCCAGCACGTGAGGCTCCAGCCCCGCAGCATCTGGAGCTGGAGTCAGCGGGTGGTTTACTGGGGGGAGTGGGGAGGGCGCTGGGGCTACACCTCTGCAGCAGTGGGAGCTGTCAGGGTGAGCCGGTTCCCACCATGGCCATACCCACCGCTCTCATCTGAATACCAAAGCCATCTAGACCTGGCATTCAGGCACCTGATGTCTTGGGATGCCCCACTCCATCCCTGGCTGAGCTGGGTGTAGGTGCTGTGCCGGGGTGGGGGACCCAGGGGATGCACCAGCACAGCCACTTTGCAAGACCTGGTTTTGCATCCATTTGGAGATGCGTGAGATGTCCGGCTCCTGCTGCTCCCTAAATTAAATATGTGCTGCCTCTTGAAAAGCACGTGTGAGTGGAACGGCGGAGATAAGCTAAATGGGAGAAGTTCAGGGGATTATGCACTGATTAAGTTATTACTAACATGAAATGAGCCACGCTGAGATGAAACAGAAGCTTTATTTTCTGTTCCCGGGCTTTGGGCTCGGGGCTGCTTGTCACTAGACAGCAGATCAAACCGGGAGCCAGGAGCTTGCATATCCCCCGGCGCTTTCAACACAGCAGTGGGTCGGTGCTGTGCAAACCTGTAGGAAGCAGAGCAGTAAATGGGGCTGGGGCTCAGGGGCTTTCCCTGCTTGGGAGGGCTTGCTGAGATACAGTGGACCCGCAGCATTTGAGACTGAGCTATTTCCAGTGCTGGGGCACCCACCCTGTAGCAGATTTGGATAGAGAAGAAATTCTGCCCTGCAACAGGAAAATCCGCTGCCACTGGGAGGATGTGTTGGGGGAGGACCACCTATTTGTTCCATTTCCCACGCTTTTCCGTAAGCATCCCCTGTAGGCTGCTGTCAAAGGCAGGATCCTGGGCTAGGTGGGGCTTGGAGAGTGAAATATAGAAGTGCAAAATGAAAGGCTGTTTGGTTGGTGTTTAAGAATAAATTTGGTTTCCTGCAAGCACTCAGGGCAGGCTGGATCAGGTGGACAAGTTGGGAGTTTATGCCCAGAGAGGCAGGCAAGGGGGCTGGATCCAGGGCTGGTGTAATCGCTGGCAATTGGGAGCTGCTGCCCAGCTGGATTTGGGCACAGGCAGGGATTAGCCCCTGCTCAGGCTGTGGGTCTGTTGGCAAAGCCAGGGAGGGGACACCCAGGGACAGCGGGGCACTGAGATGGTCCATAGACCACCGAGGCCATCAGCAGGGCTGGGGAGCGCAGGACCGCAGCAGCTTTGGGGCCGAAGCCATGGGGAGGGGGATTTTTTCGGTCGGATGTGGCAGCGCCCAGCCTGTGACCATGTCTCGCTTGCTCTTTGTGTGCCTGCAGTGATGGGCGCGGTGGAGTCCCGAGGGGTGCTGCGGCGAATGAGCGACATGCTGGAGATGCTGATGAAGAGGATGGACATCCTGGCCAGGCTGGAGAATAGCACTGACTTCCACAAAGGGGATGAAGCACGATTCCCTCTGGACAGGTCAGTCAGCCGCGCCGATGCCCCGGGCAGACCCTGTGGAGCAGTGCCGTGCTTGGGAGGTTTGCAGGAGCAAAAAGCCCCAGTGTGCTCTCAGTGTCAGGCTGAGCTGCCACGTGGGGATGGTGGAGCCCGCCGGGGCGTGGGGCTTGGGCAGGTTGTTTGCAGTCCTATGGTTTGCCATTTCTGGAAACCTTTTCTTTTGGGATTTCTGAAATTACTGTGAACTTTGGGGTTACCTGTAGCACCTGTCCCAGCTGCTAGTGTCGCAGTGTGGGAGGGTGCCTCACCGCAGCGCTGTGCTGGAGCTGGGACTCCCCCATGGCCAGAGCAGTAGCCGGTGCGGGGCTGCATTTCCCCTG